TTTAGCTATCTGATACAACTATCACCTAAGCTCCCCTCTACCTATCCTAAAATATTGTTTTTGACTAAATGATTTGGGGAAGTTTCTATTATTCTGGCTATGTAATTTTTAATAGCTGAGTATCTTATTATACTATGATTTCATTTCCTTGTCTTTCTAGTTCCTGAAGTTGACAATTGCCTTGATTTTTTTTTTTTAACTCATTCCTTTCCTCTGATTCAGATTCTCTGTTTGTTAGGTTACATGCCTTACTTTTCCTTGGTTTGCTTGATCTTTCTTGGTTTGTTTGGTTTAATTAAAAAATAATGGGAGCATGTTTCCCTAGTAGCTTTTTTTGAGTTACAAAGGCAGTGATTCAACAACTGGCCAGCCCTTGAAATGGCCCTATTCTGTCTTTTCAGTTATAGTGATCTAATCTAAACTTGTCCAACATGGGAGCTCCTTTCACTATCTTCCTTTACCTTTGCCTCTCCTGTATCGGATCTCCTGTTTTCTGTGTTATCTTCCTTTTCTGTTTTGGTTAATGCCCTCATTTTAGAAGAACATGTCCTCCAGTAGCTTTTTGAGAAAGAATGCATGGGATGCAAAATTTTTAAGATTATATGTGTTTGCAAAAGAGTTTATTTTATATTCACACTTACTGAGTAGTTTAGCTGGGTAGAGAATTCTATATTGGTTATATTAGTTCAGGAATAGACCCCAATGCACTATAGTTCACACAAGATAGTTTATTTTTCTCTTATATTAACAGTCCAGAAGGAGCAGGCAGGAAGACAAGGCTGCCCAGCATACAACTTACTGTTTCTTTCTAACTTATTGTTCCACCATTTCCTAGGTCAATCCTAAGCCAATTTACCAGCAACACATTTGAATTCAAGCCCTCAGGAAGGGGAGAGAGGAAGTGCAGAGCAAGCAATTTCCTTTAAAATTGTGACCGAGAAAGTTGCACACACTTTGCTCATGTCCTTTTGGCCCCTGTGGGGTGAAGTTATTTTCTAGATCATCTCTTTACTCAGCATGTGCCTTTTCAGGTCCTAGTTTTACACAGAGGTCTAGATCCAACTCTCATGTGAGGGCTCTGGTCATTTTTTGTGTTCTATGTGAAACTCATCAAACCCCCAAATTTCAGGCCCCAGAGATAGGCATAGACCCTAGCAGCACTAGCAACTTAAGCCTTAAACGTTTCCCAACACCAAGTAGCATGCCCACCCCTCACCACTGCCTCAAAGCCCTGGGTGGTCTGGCTGCCATCCTGCTGCCCACATCTCCCACTCTTCCTCATTTACCAGGCTCTAGCTCCTTCTGGCCTCCTTGCCATTCCTAGAGCTCACTGAGCTCTTTCCTACCTCCTGCCCTTTCCACATGCCATTCCCTCTGTCCAAGACTATTCCTCCAGAGATATCCATTTGACTTGCTCCCTCCCCTCGTTCTGCTCAAATATCACCACCTCTGAGACTTTTGCTGAGCACTGTGAGCAAACTAGCCTCTCATCACTACCCACTCACCAGCTTTTACTTGCTCTCATTACACCCATTACTACTGACATGGTCTTGTATCTATTTTTCATGATCTGACTCTCCCACTAGGTGTGTGCCTAGGTGGTTGATTTAAGAAGGGATTCCAAGGAGGAGCAAGAGAAAGAATGTGAACAGAGGAGGGAGGAACCAATATAAGCATATGTTATTGAGTCAACCACCACCAGGATCTTCTGAGGAGACTATGAATGGTGACTCAGAATTCTGTTAGAAGAAAGAGAAACTTGTATACCTTAGCTGCTAGCTCCTTTAGTCAAGGGTGACCCCCACGGTGGTTTAATTCCCCTGAACTTCTGGATTGCACTCTGGGTGTCAGAGAAGCTCCGGGCAGGAGACTTCTGAGGTGAGGCCACCTCAGACTGCCCCTATGCAAAGCTGCTCGAAGTCCGTGTGGAAGTGGTCATCGCAGCAGTGGCTGGAGTGAGAGAGGGGCTGAGACAGTAGGAGGCAGAAACCTTTCTCCTGCACTGCTTTCCCCAAGCATTCATTCTCCTGAATGAATGTGCGGAGCTGCAGTCTAGTGGGAAGGCAAATAGCAGGGAGTCAAGAAAATAAAACTCGAATCTGCAAGATGAGCAGGTTAATTGCACAGCTGTCTTACAGAGCACTTGTACATCTAAGTAAGAATATCAGCGACAGAAATCACAGGTGACATTTGCCAGGCTCTTTCCGTGGGCCACGTTGCTGAGTGCTTGATGGGCCTTGTTATTTTATCCTATAACACAAAGACTGATCCATTTTACCCAGGAAACCTGAAGCCCAGAGAAGTCCTGTGACTTGCAGTGATAGGGTAGATAACCATTTGACATAAGGGTGACTGGAGGCCAAAGCAAGGCAGTGAGGGGGGAGTTAATGGCAGAGATGGGACTGAAACCCATGTCTCCTAACTCCTGGGCTTGTGTCCCTGTCCCAGAGCTGGCTAGGCAGAACAGGGGCTCCTAAACAGTGAGGGGGGAGGAGGATGAACTAAATACAGCCAGGCTGAGCTGGGTGGGCACTGCCTCCCCAGCTATTACCAGAAGAAGCTGAAGGAAGGCACCTGCAAGGCCCGAGAGATGGAGTTGGCCATAGGCCGGCTGCGGTCCCGGAAGAAGCTTCCCTACAACCCCCAGGAGGCAGACTTGGAAGTCCCAGAACGAAGGGTCCTCAGGATCCTGAGCCGGCTGAAGCAGCAGAACTATGGTGAGGGCCTTGGGCATGGTGAGCACTCTGCTTTCCTGCCCACCTGGCCTCTTTCCCTGGGCCCCGACAGCCAGACCTAGGAGCTGAGAGACATGGTTTCCCACTTCAGGATTAACTGTGTGCATTAGTCAATGATCTGAAAATCACTATCGCTAGCCCTCTGACAAGGGCCTTCTGCACTCTTGCCCTGGGCTTAGCGCTGAGCACACGTTGGTCCCAAGAGCCTCCACTGAGCAGGGTGGGTGATTAGCAATCGTAGATCACCACTAACTGAACACCCACTGTGGTCACTCCCCATGCTAAGCTCTTTGTAAATGTGCTAGAATTTAATCCTCACCATCACGTGTTTACCCCATTTTACAGATGAGAACAGTGAAACTGAGGAAGTCTATGCCCAAGGTCCCACAGCTAACGTGTGTCAGAAAGGGCAGTTTATACCCAGGTCTGACTCCAAAACCTATGCTCTTTTCACTGGGCAAGACTGTCTCCCCTTAAGTGCAGGTGCCAAGTGATGGGCTAGGAGCTTTCCAGAGTCTCTCTAGTGTGCCAGCCAGAATGCAGGACCCATCACCAAGACATATGCTCCTGTGTAAGCTGTTAGCCCTTACACAGTGCTCAGTGTTTAGCTGCACGCTGTGCGTGTATTAGCCCTTTAATCCTCATCGTCAGCTGTGTGGGGTGGGTACTCGCCTCCAGCTTACACAGAGGCTCAGGTTAACGGATCTGCCCAAACCTACCCAGCTTGTTATGTGGCAAAGCTGAGATTTCAGCTGGGTCTGCCTGCCTCCCAAGGCTGGGCTTGCTCTGAAGCATTCCCCTCTCCTGCCTCCTCCTCCCTTGCCAGCTGCCAACCTGCAAAGCCCCTATGCCCAGGTGCCCTGCATCCCACTCTGTCCGAGGTTGGACAAGAAGATGGTTCGTCGGAAGCAGGGCAGCCAGTATGTGCTGGACCCATGCACCCCCACCAGCCTGGGCCCCGACATCCATAGCCTCCTCTTCCAGTCAGGATCTCAAGGAAGCAGGTGGGTGCCCAAGAGGCAGGAGCTCTGGCGCAGGCCCATTCACCTCCTTTTTCACAAGGCCCTGGCCTAACCTGAGGGGAATCCATCCTTCCAAGAGATGATGCCCAGGATACTGCTGCTCCAGGGAGGAAAAGGGGGAAAGGATGGAAGCAGTGAGAAACTAACATACGCTGAGAGCCCATGTACCACACTGGCAGTGCTTAAGTCAGGGCACTTCTTCCTTCCTGTGTCGACACAGTGGTACATACCGTCTTTCTCCTAGGCTGGTACCATCTGCCTTTCTCATGCACGAGGTCAGCTCGCAAGTCTTTTGCCTGAGTATGACTCCATGTTAGGAGCAGTATGAAACAGGCTTGACTGCTGGATGGAGGGAAGCTTCCCCTGCCAATCCCCTTTCAGGCACTTTGGGAACAAAAGGAATCAGGACTTGCAATCAGGCCCCTGAGCCCAACTACTAGGCTCCATTGCTTCCCAGGAAAGCCTCCTCTCCCCTGGGGCACATGGGAATGGCTCATTTCCTCCCACCTTTCTCCTCATCTCTCCCCCTAGGGAACACGGCTCTGAGTGCCGAAAGTGGCTCAGCTCTGTCCTGGCTAGAACGCACTGACCTATGGAGTCCTGACTCCGGGCAGCTGTTCAGGTCATCAGGCAGGTACCGCTGCTGGATTTTGCTTTTGTGGCCTGGTAAGCCAATAAACACCAAGAACCTCAGCTTCTGTGTGTGGGTCAAAGAAGGCCCTCAGGTTTTCCACTTGGCTCTCAGAGTACAGGGCCCCAGCTTCCCTCAGGCTTAGGAAACCCTGAAGCAAGAAACATCTTGAAACCCTGCCAGGGTTGGGACTCCTGCTAAAGGGACCCTGGGTGCAAAGTCTTGACCTTCTATGCACTCTCAAAGCTCAGAGTTGGGACTCTTCAGATGAGTGCTCCTTTGGACTAGGAGCCTCACAAAGGCGAAAGCATCTCTTCCCACTTGCTCGAAGGTAAAGATTCTGGACCCTAAAAGCAGCAGACTGACTTTGCAGAAGGGCAGGAGGGGTCTCAGCCATGCTCTGAGAGGGCCCCGGGCGCTTGGGGGCCTTTCTCATGGAACCTAAGGGTATGTGGGTCTTTGCCCCCCAACCCACACACCACCCCAGGCCTATTTCTCTAACAGAGAGAGCCCCTCCCTGGGACTGAGCAGAGGTAGCTCCCCCAGTGATTAATCAAGCAGGCATAGCAAGAGGTTAGGAGGCCAGGGACTGAAATGAGGACAAGGTTCTGACAAGTTTAAAACATGTATTTAAAATACAATTTATAAAATGCTTAATCTGCCGACTCAGGAGCCCGCGGTGCGGGGTGGGGTGGGGTAGGCAGCTGCCCGCTAGACCAGCAGAGCAGGACTGCAGGGGTGCGGCCCTCCCTCCCATGCCCTTCTGTTCAGACACCCAAGGGGCCCACATGCACCCCTGGGATCACACGAGCAGAAAACAGGACCCCGGACGTTTCCAGAGCCTCTGCTTACCAGGGAGGCTGGGGCAGCCCTGCCCGCCCATCCCTGAGCAGAGCATCCCCACATGGGGCAGAGCAGGGTATGGCTGGGCTGGACAGGGCAGGGCGGGGCAGTGGGCTCTGGAAGGGGCTGATGGTAGCAGATAGGGTGTTGCCTCCTGCCTGCAGGTGGGGAGCACCCTGATTGAGTGGGCTGAGAAGGGTTGGTCACCAGGCCTGGACCCCCAGCTCCTTTGGTTATAGGCTGACATCAGAGTAGTGGCTCATGGGAAGCGGTTAGCTGGAAGGTCTGAGGCCTGGCTCATGGGGTCAGGGAGGAACTGGGGGAAAGGGGGACAGTACCATGAAGGCAGATAAACAGGCAGCAGCCTCAGGTTTCTGCCCCACCCCCACCCCCCCTGGGGTTTTCCAAGCCAAAGCCTGCAGCTTACTTAAAAGAAAAAAACAAAAAAAAAAAAAAAGAAGAAGAAGAAGAAGCACTTAAGGAAAGTTACAGACAATAAAAAAAAAAAAAAGAAAAAAGAAAAAAGAAAAAAAAAAGAAAACAAAACAAAAAACAACCCCCCCCACACACAAAATCCAAACCATTCTCCCATCAACCCTCCCACCTCCCCCCAACACATTTCCTTGTTTTCATTTCTTTCTCTTTAAAATTTTGCCTGCCACCTCTCCATCTGGGAAGCCAAGAGTACAACTGTTGATGGGTGGTGGCAGGCACAGTGGGCAAAGCCCCATCTTTGGCCAGAGGGAGGTGGGAACACCAGTCCCTACTACATCCTCAATCCACAGACACCCATCAGCCAGCCTTCCCTTCAGCTCCCACTAGGGGAGAGGGGGGCAAGAGCAGGTGGTCCCGATGGCTGAGCAATCAGTATTCCTGGCCATCCCACCTGGCTTACCTCTGTACCCTTCTCCAACTGAAAGGACAGTCTCATCTTGGGCCAGAAACTACTATTACATGAAGGCTAGACACTGTACATCTAGAAGGAGGAAACTTGGTCAGGGCAGTGGAACTATAAAGACAGCAGCCAATCTTCTTCCTTGGCCACTTCTGGGGGATCATCCCTCCATTCCTCTTACAACAGCCTGTGGGTACAACCCAACAGCCTGTGGCCTCTTTGTGACTGAAGCTCTGTTCCAGCTCTGCTCACGCACCATTTCCTGGCTGCTCATGGTTATAAGGCTATGCTGTGGACTAGCTGCTGATTCAACGGGCAGCTGGCCCTTCCTCCTCAGCAGGAGATGCAGTGGGACATGGCTTACTGGGCCTGACCTACATTCCCACAGGGCAAGGCTGAGAGCCAGGTAAACCAAAGGTGGAGTGAGCCTGCAAAACCTAGCTTGCCACCTTGGCCACCGCAAGCTGCCCTAATCACAAAATGTCCTATCACCCACTCCAAAATTCATCCGCTGAGTGGGGAGGCTACCTGGCTGGCTGAGGGATAAGGCGCAGTGCAATGGAAGAGACCAGAAAGCCTGAGAGGACCCAGTTATACAAACACACACAGAGCTGCTTTAGGCAGCTGCCCTCTTAGCCTCTCCCACCTTAAAGAGCCAAAGCAAATCTCTAGGCTCTAGGGACAGAGGGGAAACTGCCTTCATTCCAGAGCCTTGCTCTGGAAAAATGGGTGAGGGGTGGCCTGGGTCTATGGTCTGTCACCACCAATCTTTGCAATGCACAGCTTGCCTTTTCCCACATGTATTCAGAATGGTCTGCTCCCAAGGTAGTGATTTCACAAAGGAAATATACTAGGCATGGTGCCATCAACAGAGATGGTGCTCCACAGACCCTTGAGAGTTCAAGCCTTGCTGGAGTGGGAAGATCTATCCACCTTCCAAGCACACTGGGCAGGAGGTTCAGAGTCCTGGAACCACTTTCTCCTGGTTCTCCTCGGGCTAACAGCAAAACACTGAGCAAGTCTCACATTCCTTACTTCCGAGCCCGGAGTGCATATCACTCCCTGCTCTCTTCTAGAAGGAGCAAGCCTGGCTGGCAGGGAACCACCCTGAGGGGTATGGGAAGGGGAAGTCTGTTCACTTTCCCTATCTCCCAAAATACTAGAGGTGGGGTTGGCATCCTCCCCAGGCTCTCTGAGCCTATAGAGCTAGCTCAGTCTCCAGGTAGGGCGAAGATGCCCTGGGACTTAGCTGGGGGAGGGAGGTATAGGCATGGGGTGCTCATCTGTCCTGGGGGCTGCAGAGCCCTGCCCCTTTTCTGGGCGGCAGTAGGAATACAGAAGCTAAGCTCACCAAAGTCCTATTGGTTAATGTTTCTGGTGAATTTCCCAGAAACATTTTTAAGTAGACTACCAAACTACCCTTTCTCAATTAAAAATTCATTAAACTGCTAAAACCCCTCCCATGCACTTTTTCTTGCAAATCAGATTATTTGTATAAACAAACAAAAGTAGGAAGGAGAAAAAAAAAAAAAGAAAGGACATTTTCAAATGGAACTTGCTTTTAAGTGATGAAGACATGCACTTGCGGGTGGGTGGACGGGAGTTCTCATCTGTATTTTGAAATCCCAAATTAATGAGCATGATAAACTGTTATTGCTGGCACTGGCTTTACCCCAAGTGGCCGAGTGACACTGTCTGACTCTCTACTCTGAGTCCTTCTTGGGTCCCCCCAACCCTCCCCTGACCCCCACCCTTTCCCTTTCCATTGACTTGGGACAGCCCTTGTAGACGTGCCAATCACAGTGGGAAGGGGGGGAAGGAGGGAGGTCACAGTGCATGGGGTTCAAGGTCACAGTGGGCGGAGCAAAGGGGGTCACAGTGCAAGTAAGTCAGGTCGTTCCCTCTGCTCAAGTCCAGCTGTCTGCCACGGCAGTGCGACCCGTGGCGGACGACCCAAGAGGCGGTGATGGCGGCAGCGGTGGCGGCATCCTTTCCCGCACGCATTTATCTGCGCTGTTTGAAGCCCTGTGACCCATCTGGACCCAAAGGCTGTCTGATCACATTATTGGGCTGCCTGCTGTCCTCAGGTTGGGAGATCCTGGTTGGCCTGGAGGGAAGAAGATCAGAGGGAGGCCTGAAAAAGGACATACAAGAGGTCCCCAGATCTTTTTTTTTAACTTTTTTTTTTAAAGATTTATTTTTTATTCATTCAGAGAGAGAGAGGCAGAGACACAAGCAGAGGGAGAAGCAGGCTCCATGCAGGAAGCCTGACGCAGGACTCGATCCGGGGTCTCCAGGATCACGCCCTGGGCTGCAGGCGGTGCTAAACCACTGCGCCACCGGGGCTGCCCAAGGTCCCCAAATCTTAAAGCCAAATCTTAAAACTGCAGCTGGGGCAGAAGCCAAAGTAGCTATCAGCCAACTCTGGCTCCCTCTCTGACTAGCTGGGAAGCTCACGGGCGGGGGGGCCGGGAGTCTAGGCTCACCTCTTCCCCCAATCTAGAGGTAGGGGGAGTGCTCAAGGGCCCACCCCATCCCGAGGCAGTGACCCCGGCCAGCTCCACCTCCACGGCACTGTGTGGCACGGCTCCAGGCTGTTAAGCAGAGGTAAGACCCCAAACCTAGGGCTCAGCAGAGGGACCCAGTACCGGCCACTGCTGTGCCCTGCTTCTCTCCAAATCATGACTCATACTAATATGGAAGACTAACAGGAAACAGATTTTTCTAGTCTGCCAAGTGAAGGCTTGGAGAACGGAAGTCTATCAGATTAACGAAGGGACAGGAAGAAGGTACATAGATCAAGTCCCAGAATAGCAAGCCCGAGGAGGCCTCTCAAAGTCAGAAAGAGGCTACTTTTACAAATACTGCTTTGGCAGAAGGTGACAAATTTACATAATGCAACCTGTAGGACTGCAGAGAAAAAAGTGCCGGGAATGAAAAAGGATTTAGAAAATTCACCAAACATCACAGAGAGCTATTATGAGACCCCGAAGATAACATCTAAGCACTTCCACTGTGCCAGGCAGGGTTCTCAGGACACTATACTTATTCATTTGCACAATGAGTTGACAGGAGAGGTACTATCGTTACCCCATTTCCCCCCCCAGATGAGGCTATGAGGGTACGGAGAGGCTAGGCAGCCCCAAGTGGAAGGAAATGGCAGATTTCTGACTCAGTCTGCAACACGCAAAGGGGGCACACCAGTAAGCCAGACGGCAGACCCTGACCTTGCCCCCGGGCTCGGCTTAGCAGCTGGAGATGCCGCCTGCCTGCGTCTCACTACTCTGCTTGACCCCAGGCCACTCCCCCTCCTCTACCTCAAAGTCGCCTGGCATAGCGGTCCGCGGTCAGCCCTGCCAGCCACACTCACCGGTCGAGGATGGGTTTCTCTTGCTCCTCCTCAGGGCTGGCGCTGCCCAGGATCCGCTTCCGGGCCTCGGCGTACTCCGCCTCCCGCTGAGCTAGGGACTTGACAGGAAGGGCTGGCCTGCTGGTGGAGTTGGGGCTGCTGACCACACCGTTGCTGGTGGGTCTCTTGAGGATGCGGATCTGTGGAGGGGGCCCCGTGGGAAGGCTATCGTCCTGAATCACAATGGGCACTTTGGGAGGAGATTTGGATTTCCTGCTGACAAAGAGCAAACACAGCTTCACAAATCCTATCCTTGACCACAGAGGCCCCATCCATGTACCTCACCCACCCCCCATCACTTTCCCCTCCTAAGTCTACTCATTATTCTCTGGCCTCTGACCAGACACCAACACTCTTACTCCTCAAGAGGGGTTTCTCAAAAGAGCAATCTCGCCATAAGTTCACGTCGTCCTCAGGTCTGCTCCTCAAACCTAACCCCAGGCAAAAGGGGCTGGAACAGCATCTCATTCTGGGACTTCTATCCCCAGGTTCACAGTCAACATCAACCACCGTTTGGCCCCTATGGCAAGACATTTCGTGCCCAGAATCCAATGGTGTCAGTTAAAATCCCAACTTCCCTACACAGAGCAGAGTGTAACAGGCTGGTGTAATGGGAGCCCCCCAGCTTAGGGGTCAGCAGAGCGTTCACTCCAGCCATGGCCTTCTACCACATGTGCTTAAACCAGTCAAACACTACAAAGGAGCCCACTCCACCATCCCTGCCTGGCATGAAGACAGGATTTACCAAACTGCCTCAGCCCTCTGGTAAGTGACCTGTGCCTCCCAGAGACAAGCTACACCAGACAATGGGATCACCTCTTCAGAAGACTTTCTGAGCAGAGACACCTCCCTCACCATGGCTCTCTGGTATGCTGGACGCGGCGGGGCTGGGGTAAAGGACAATCTCAGAAACAGTGCTGGGCAGTGCTCAGAGGAGAAGCACTGTCCAAGGCTGGTGGATGTGCACACTGGGCAATGTGTCCACAAGGAGAGGTAGAGAACCACACAGGAAGGGAGAGAAACAAAAGCCACAGGGGAAAAGGGGATCCAGGCAGGAATGATCGCTCTTCACCAGCCAGAAAGACCCTCCCAAAAGCGGCCTAAATGAGCTTCTCTTCAGAACCAAACAGCCTACAGGGGCCTGTTTTCAAAACCACAGCTGTCAGGTGGGGAAGGGGCTGGAGGAAGTCTGCTGCCGCTAGGAGGAACTGGAACAAGTCCTGGGCAGGACAGGAATGGCATGGCAAGGGGACTAGAACCAGACATCAGTGCAGTTGCTGAGATGAGCAGACAGACAAGGAGCCAGCAATCCGATCAAAGAGTCAGGGAACCAGGAAACTAGTAGGTGGGCAGGGCCCTCCTGGCATCCCCTGGGGAACGACTATCAAGTCCATCAAGTCCAGAAAGGTCCTCTCCTCCTCCTCCCTCCTCCCTCCTCTCTCTCTGCGGCAGGCCCACAGCTTACCTAACTAAGCCCAAAGACAGACTGCTGAGGTCAACTTTCACCTGCTCTGAAACCCACTTTCTCTGTGTGGCTGTGGGAAAATACCCTTAAAAAGGTCTTTGAGACTTTCTGAGATCTTTTCTTCCAGAATACCCCCATAATGCCCTCAGCCACCATGCCACTGAGGGCCCAGATAAATCATCTGTCCAATCGCTTTATATCACAGAGAAAGAAACTGATTTTTCCGAAACAACTTGTCCCAAACCTTGGAGAAACTGGAACAGAGCCAAGCCTAAGACCCAAGTTTTCTGATTTGTCACCTCCCCACTTTCCACCAGACCACCTCACACGAGGTACCCACTGAGTTAGAAGGCATATGCGACACTCCAGACTCACTCTTCAAAGCCTCAAGCCACCACATCTTTGAGGGACATGCTCGGGTGCCTACCCTGCTAACCCTAATGGCCACCTGGAGAATACCACTGACTGCCCAGCTCTCGAACAACAGAGAGCATGAGCCCTCAGACCAGACAGCAGCCTTACCTCTCCTTTTGTGTGATCTTCAGTTTTTTTTCCAACCGTCTGTCTATTTCCTAGAGGAAAAAAATGTATATAAAAAGTGGAAAAAAAATCTCTCTTAGATAAAAACTTATGTCTTTATTTTCAAAGCTAAGGATGGTGTCCTCTGACCAGGGACATTACTGTGTCCTTTGAGGTAATGGATGCAGACCTCCCTTTACTAGCCTCGGGTCTGGGAACCTGACTCCCTGAGGGTTGATCTCCCTCCAACCCCGTGGCCATGGTGATACCTCTAGATCTCAACATGCAGCTGGGTTCCTTGTGTAGCTTCCAAATAGTCTCCTGGCCTCCAATCTGTCCTTCACAGCACCATTCAAATCAACTTTCTACACAAAAGTCTAGTTGTATCACTTCCCCACTAAAACCCCTTCAACTGCCTGTCAGATCAAGTCCAAGCTCCTAAGAACGCCTCGTTCATACCTTTATCTTTGGTTCCTGTTTTATATCACTGTGAAGCTGAGCTGTTACCAACCCCCAGAACCCAGCATGCTGACTCACCTGCCTGCAATATCCTCCCCTTTGCAAACTTCCACTTATCCTGCAAAACCCACGCTGATGTCTGCCTCTCCATGGTGGAGTCTTCTCTGGCCCCATACACAGTTAATCACCTCCTTCTCAGACAAGAAGCTCTCCCTTTTACATTCCTTCACGATCACATGTTATCACATATTTTACAGCCTCCCCCCCCCCCCACTGTTATGGACTTGAACTCTGTGATTAGCACTTAGACAAGGCCTGGAACAAAACAGAAGCCTAATATCCGTGAAACAGGTGGGCAGGGAGCCCTCAGGCCCTCAGCACCAGGAATTCTGTGATGCTCCCACACTCTTATGCACAAGACCCCATGCACTGGACAGGAGGAGGCTGTGCACAGAGCAAATATCAAACCTTCAGGCTTCTTGGCTATTCCACTGCTTTTTCATACAAAACATCCCACAACTGTCCTCTGTGAGGACAAGACCATTTAGGAAAAAAATTGTATGAAAAATGGTATTATTTCTCTGAAGAAAAGATCTGTAATGGTGGTTCTCAACTGGGAGTGGTTTTGCCCACCAGGGGATATTTGGCAATGTCTGGAGACATTTTTAGATGCCACTGCCAGAGCAAAGGTGCTACTGGCAACTAGTGGGTAGAGTCCAGGGATGCCATGCTGCTAGAATCCTACAATGCACAGAACTACCCCCTTGGCAAAGACTTACATAGCCCCAAATGTCAGTAGTGCTGAAGGTGACAATCTTGACTTATAGGACATATGGGATTTTCAAGAGTCTATAACTTGCAAAATGTCAAGAATCACTGCCTTAACTGCCAGTAAAATCTTTGAAATTTGCTGAGATCCACCTCAGGGCCAAGTGTGTAGCCAGTTTTCAGGAATGTTCCAAATGTCCAGAAAAGGACCATATTCTACAGTCAATGAGTACAATTCAAGCTGGTTAATTATAATGTTCAAAATCTTTACATTCTTGCTCATTTGTTAGGTTTACAGACTATGCAAAGAATCAAAGATTATTTTCTGGTAAATTACCGTTTATCATTATGAAATGATCTTCTTTGCCTTAAAATCTATTATTTAATATGAATAAAGCTATTTCAGTTTTCTTTTGGTGAGTAGTCCCCAGAATATGTTTCTCTTTTCCTTCTCTTATTTTTGTCTCCTGTAAACAATATGAAGCTCGGCTCACGCTATGAAGCCAGATTTCAATCCAGTCTGACATGGACATTCATTCTGACTGGTGCTGAGTTGTGTTTAACATTTTTTGTTTTTATGACGTATGCAAAGTATGTTTGGGGCAAGCACAACACACTGAATTCGGAGGGTCCCATCCACTCCCTGGAGGGGCTAGGAAGCCACTAGATGGAAGACCCCTCACTCAAGCTTAGAACACAAGCTAGCACTCAGCTGCTGTTTAATAATGACTGGAAAAGGTGCACTGTGACCACTACGACCACCTGGGTGTGCATGGAGAGAATCTAAGCCCACAGCACTTAATTCTTTTTAATACCAGTGTTATGGCCTGAGTAGATAGTATTTCCCACATTAGTCTAAAGCCCTGTTACCATGTAAGGGCTTTCCAAGGCTTTCCACAAATAACTTACAGTTTCAAGCTCTACACTGAATCATTTTGCTCCCATCTGAAAAGGACACCTCCTACTCAAGTTTCTCCATCCTAAATGCAAGGTTTAACATCTGTGGGATTTAGAAGCCTTCACACAGGGTCAGAACCAAATGCCTCCACCAGCCAGGCAAGTAAGCAAAACTCCTTCTGCAGGAGCCCAGTGGGGAGCTGAAGCGGCTAAGAGGCACCAAAGGGCACTGACCCTGCCTACAGATGGGCAGCAGAGCCCTGGCTCACAGGGTCAGAGCTGCTATTTGAGGAAAAAAACAGACTCAATATTTTTACGGGAAAGCTCTACATTTTTAAACTTCATTACATGAACTCTCACTTTCATATCGCTACGAGGGCCAAATAAGGCATACAGACAAATGGGCCTAATACAGGAGGTTTTTTTTTTTTTTTTTTTTAAATTGTGGTAAAATACACATTACTTTAACTGAATGTGAGAAGCCCCATTTAGGTTTCTCTCAAAAGAGCAAACTGTTTCCTTCTTTCTGTACGGCCTTAGGGAAGATAAGAGAATTTGCCCAGGCTCATCAAATGAGCCTGGGTAGGAAAGAGCCCTTCAGGAGGTCATTATGGACCATGCCTGAGTATGGCCCAAATGGGTCTCTGACCCCAAACTAGAATGTAACCAGCATACCTGGCACATAATATAAACTAGTAGCTTGAAAAATAATGCCTTACATCATCATAATGCTTTATGGCTGTCAATACACTTCCCCCAGACACTCATTTTCTGTTCACACTACCTACCTATTTGATAGACAAAAGAGCTTTTATCCTTTTCTGTCAGATGAAGGAAGGAGGTTAAGAAACAAACCCAACGTCACAAAGTCAACCACAGAGGCAGCCCAAGAACTAAGGACTAAGAACTAAGGCCTTTTGAGGCCCTCCCCGATGCTGGCGCAGCCCCACAATTGCTCACATGCCCTGGAGATGGGAAAGCCATTAGATACACTGATCTCTTCCTTGTCATCCCCAAATGCCCACTGCCCCCTGGCACTCCAATAACTAAGAGTTCCATCAAACTCCATCACACTAAGCAGGATAGCTTATCAGAACTGAGCAGGAATTCCTCCAGCAGATTAGAGAATGGGATATAAATCCAACAGCTTTGGGAGAAAGCTGATCCTGACCGTATCCAGATGGCCAGCTGGACACAAGTGTGCCCAGAGCTGGCCCCGCGAAGAGGGAGTGCCCTGCCAGCAAACGGAGAGAGCACTGCAGCTCCTTCTGGAGTCTGTCCAGGTATCATGAGTCAGTCCATTCTCCTTTTGGACAAGCCCCTGCAATCGATCTCCTCTCAGTCTCGTGCTCTAAGAGCTGCACCAAGCCAAAACTTTCCTACAGGGTGCACTACAAGGAGAGTGCTTGTCGCCTTCAGAGATGCAATAGCCCAGTGGAATTAAACAGGCCTCAGAGTGCTGCATGAGGAAGCATCTAGATGTAGGCCCAACAAGAAACCTTATCTTACCTTAAGATACCAAAGGGCATCTTCTCTTCTCATAAGAATGAACAGGATGAACAGAACCTTGGTCAAAGGTGAAGACTTCTGTGTTAAGAGGCTCAAGCTTCACAGGTAGTGAAAGAAACCCATACATAAGCTCATCACTCTATGACTTCTCTGAGCCACGAGGGGTCACCAGGACAGAAGCAAGTGTTAGGACATAAACGTATCAGAAGTGGGGTGATAAGAAATGTTTGATTTCCCATGACTTTTTCTGGAAAAGCTAGCTATTTTTTGGCCAAATAGCACTGAGCAGCCTCTAGAAGATGATTCCCTGTGCTCTGCTAAGCGGTGTGGTCTCCTCTTTGTGTCAAAAACCTAAGCAAAAGCTCTCTTGCTCCTTAGAGACACAGATATCACTTGCCCTGTGGGGCTACATCTCTACAAAAATGAGGTGCACTCCTCTTGGTCTGAGAGAACAAGCAAAACCAGAAGGAAGGAGTAGAGGCAGGAGGTCATGAAAAACCAGAGTGGGGAGCAAGACAGTTCTGGACAGGGTGGTCCCTTATGGGAGGTAAAGAAGAGGCCTCAGCCACAAGGCAAATGAAGTCAGATGCAAGGATGCAACAACCTCAAATTCTACTCACCTGAGAGAAGCACAGCTTCCTGAATGCTGATGCCCTCAACCTTGCAATGACTGTGCTTGTAAGCTCTCACAGAAAGCTGGAGGGGGTGTGGTGGCACATGAGAAGAAGAGCAGGGAAGGGGACACCCCAGACTATTTTGTTCCCTAGCCACCATCTTCAAAAGGATCAAAGGAGACAGAGGATAGGGATGAATCTGTGGGCGGGCAGATTGCCATCACAGATCCACCTCTGTAGCAGTTAAGAGGTGCATGAGAAAGGAAAAAAGAAAAGTGGGAAGCAGAGAGAAAAGGAAGAAAGGGAAAGGAGGACGGTAACTAGGCTATTCCAGATCTTGGTCCAAAGTACAGCAAGTATGGTGTCAGCACAGCTGTAGCCTCAGATCTGAATATTCAAGAAACAGACTCCATTGGTTCACCTAGGGCTGATGAAGCCTTGGGGGCGCTGATTCAAACTAGCCAAACTCACAAGAGACACACTGAACAAACCCAAGTCTTCCTCCACTACACTATGGGGGTGGGGGGTGTTCCCCACCTTTTCTGGTACCTGACCTTCTGCTATCCACGCCCAGCATCTCCCCCCCTTACCCAACTCAGTGCCAAAGGAATGGACTATCATGCTCCACCACTGCATCCCTCCTCTCATAACTAGAATCCCTGGTCACCAAGGCAATCCACACAACTCCTCTAAGATTTCAAGAAATCTTGTACCAAATGGAGGTTCTTGGCTCTGAGTTAGGAAATAACCTCTTTTTATCAGCAAAAGTGACTAAGTGACTTTTCTCAGATAATTTGCTTCTCTTT